AGATGCTCTTGGCAGGACTGCCATCCTTTTGATCATGCACATGTGTTTTTTCACAGTAGCTTTCTTTTGAAACATTTAGGAGATGAGCTTTTTCCTGGCATAGGGGATAAGCGCTGGAAGAAGCGTTCTCTGCAAAATGTCCAAACGTCAGGTTGCTTTAAGACACTGTTTCAGAGCTTTACGATGAAAAAAAAAATTAAACTGGATGGCAGAGCAAGCCTAGAGCTTCTATGTTGGAACAGCAAACTGTCATTTTGATGACAATGTGTGTACAGTTATGCTACAAGTTAGGTAAGCTTTTTTTTAAGGCTCCAGACGTCGTGATCTAATGATGTTGTTGTGATGGGGGTTCCCTAAAACGAAAAATAAGAACATAAAATGGAGAACAAAACAGCTCCCTTCTTCAAAGTAGAATTTGTCAGACATTAAGCAAATGTAGCTGCATAATCTTGATTAGAGCATGATATGGTTGAAGTTGAAAGCAACAGCAAAGATGGCTTCAGATAAAAGAAGTTAAGGCACTTCAAAAAAATCAGCTGTCCTCATATCAAACACACACATACACACTCATAAACGCACATTCACAGCTCATAATCTTCAAATGATCGCTTGCAAATGACTCAGAGGGGAATTATTTCTTAAGCATCAATAGTAAAGCAGTAACTGTGAGTTTTACCATTCGAGGGTGTCTTGCCAATGATGCAGGATGAGACTTAGTTGATAAGAGAACAAAGACAGATACATTTCAACTTAATATTTAATTGACATCAGCACTGTTCTAAGTGTAGTCCAAAACCAGGGTCAGCTTTAAAGATTTTTGAAATCAATATGAAATGGCTCCCCTCTCTTATTGGCATTTCTAACTACAAATAGGAAAGAGTGAAAGTGGGAGTCAAATAACGCCTCTTTCTTTCAGCCCAAGCTTAAATTTATCATTTCTTCCTAACTTTGCTCATATTAGATTGTAGTATCTGCCTCAATCATGTTTGTAAATGATATTCTATCAGAGAGCAGAGGGACCTTCCAGATATGGAGATACATTTCTACAGATATGGGAAGGACGTCTATTTGGACCAGGCCTAACTATTGCCTACTCTAAATCTAAGTTTAAAAAAAATCTTTTTTCTTCCTGGGTTTTAGCCCATTCCCTAAAATAAGAGATTGAGATTTACAAACATGAAACTGATTTGCAGAATAGGATTATTTTTGCAGTGAAAGGATATTCTTCAATACCTCCAGTTATTGTTTTGCAACCCAAGACAGTTGAATCTATTGATGCTTCAGTCCTACTTCAGTTCTCCCATTGCCCTCTTATATCCTACTGGAGAGGCAATAATAATCATATTTCATATGAGTAATTATACTTTCTAACTCTCCAAAATC